AGTGCAGTAGCTGAGCCCTTGAATTCATGCCCTAAGTAGCTTGAACTACACACAAATACTCCTTGATTTCTGTTGGTTTGTATGTGTGCAGATTGAAGTATCCTGTGAGAATCTGAAGTGATCTGGAAGTCCTTGTGCGAGGGCTGTGATAAGTGTACTGCTACTGTAGCACTAGGCAGTGGTGGGTGGGAGCAAGGGTGTGCAGAAGAATTGGCTGCTATTCTCAGCCTAACATCTGCTCTTCTTGTCCTTGGTTGTTTATATTTTTGAAGCCTCCAATTGCAGCACCATGAAACAATCCACGAAACTGCCACATATGGTTCTGTGAGGCCATATAGAGAAAGCCCCCTCCTGGCAAGAGCAAGGCGGACAGAGAGCTTTCACAGTTACCGGGACTTCCAGGCTTTTAACTTATCCAGCAAAAGCCCAACAGAAAAGGCAGCTGCTGCAAATGGAAATTCAAGCCAGACAGAGGCCAGGAAAGGAACAGCTGAGGGCAGTGCAGCTGAGAGGAAGGCAGTCCTGTCAACAGCATTTGAAGTGCGAGGCACAGGCGTGACAGATGCAGGTGGGTGTTGCAGTACAGAGGTTCACCGTCTGCCAGAGAGTTCTCTGGATCTCAAAAGAAGAGGACCAGAAGAGGAGAGTGAAGCCAAAGCAGAAAGTAAAAAGAAAATGGGATTTGAAGGAGCTGGTTTCCTGGGAAGGAAGAAAGTGCCTCTCCTGGCCTCTGCACCAGTCCTTGCTGAAGGTGGTCCTGAATTACCTGGTGCAGCTTCTCCATCACCTACAAAGACAGCTGCTTCACCACGTCACCGGAAGAACGACTCATCCTGCCAAGACTACGGCTTGTGAAAATGGGACTGGTGGCAAAAATGAGGGGCAGGTGCCCTCTGGCTGGTAGCAGGCATAATGTTACGTGTTGTGGGTTGTTTCTTGAATGGGATTTTGTTCTGATACCAGAATAAAAATTGTAAGGTTATGAGAAAGTACCTGGCTGCTGCCAAACCTTCGAAGGGTCGTCCACATCAACATGTGGCTTTATGTAATGCTCCAAAATGTAGTATGGTACTTGGTCCAAAATAATATTGTGCATTCTTGCGTAAATGTGGTCAGGCATGTGATATGTTGTGATTATTTTTGTTTTGGGAAGGGAGGGTGCTAAAGGAAAACTTGGTTGCTGAGTGGAGGATGCCTTTTAGATGCAGCCACACGTTGCTCTGCAGAGCTGCTGCTGTCTTGGATAGATTTTGCCTAATTCACAGGGCTGCCTCTGTAGTCTTGTTTTATGAATGGGATCATTGCTCTGTATGCTGCTGTCTGATATCTGAAATGTTTTGTGCAGGTTAAGGAGGAGGCTATTCAAAATAGCATATTATTTTGCCTCTTAGTCCAAATAAATTGCCAGAGGAGTGTTGCTTGTGCTTTCTGAAAATGTGCAGTATCAGATGATGGGTTTTGCTGTTTGTGACTGAGAGAATGCATAAAATATGCTTGACAGAATACACAGAACTGGCAGGCTCTTGAGGGCTTCCTTGTCACTTTCTCTGGAAAAAGGACAGAGATGAATATGGGAATAGGTTTACTGTCATGGTGTAATAATTCTCAATTACAAGTGCCTTGACATGATATTTCCTACCTGTGTTGCACTGGGTGCTTGTTGTTTGCTCCTAATTTACTGCGGATGGTGAACAAGTTTTATTGCCTGTAGATTAATAATACATGAGCAGAAGGGAAGGGTGTGACAGCAAGTGTTCAACAGGGAGTGTCTTAAGAGGTTTTCTACCTCTGAAAAAGCATGCTTGGAGTTAAGTATTAATTAATGGCTTGGTTTGGTTTTTTTTAACTTGAGCCGAGAGGGTGGGGAAGAGGGAGTGAGAACACAAAGGTTGAAGCAACTTCATAAGAATTCCTTCACTGCTGTTTATTCATCTGTGCATGAACAAAATTTTGTGATGGAGCTTTGTCAGGCCAGGAGAAAACATGGTTATCCTGCCATGCAGGCCCCTTTTAGCCACACGCTGTTTTTTGGACACATAAAACACTTTTCATTACCAAACATGCTGCTCCCCATCACTCCTTGCCCCACCCCTACAACCCTCCTCAACTGTGAAAGCTGGATGAGAGACAAAGATGAGAGCCTCTACCTTCACAGTCTTTTACTAATGTATGACTTAGGGATTTTCAAACTGCTCTCTTACCTTATGAGGTGTCAGTGCTAACACAGTTTTTATTATATAGGAAATAGATGGTGAAAAAAAGGCCAACTTACCCTCCCACCTCCCCTCCCCAAAAAAACAGTTTTATCTTTTAACTCCTGGGCATGGGGTGGGGAAACAGCAGCCCTGTCTCTGTCCCCAAAGGCCATGCATGCTGCTTTTGGCAAGTTACCCACTTTCCATTTTCTAGAAAAGGTGGTTTTGTTCTTCAGAGGTGGGTGTCAGTGAATGTGGTGTGCTCCTTGGTGACAGTGCTGAAGCCTTTGATGACATTGGCAAGATCTTCTTCGTCTACATACTGTTAGGAAGGGGGAAAAGAAGAAGCATGTCAACCAAAGCTGTACCAGGCTAAAGGTGATTCCTTCATTTCTCTTTCCTCCTACCCCCTTAAAAAATGGTTCTGAAATAGATAAATAAGTGTATTTCTAATGTGTTCCCTTTCCTTCCAGTATGAGGTAAGAACCTAAAGCATTCAAGCACCTGAATCCAAACCAATTAGATTTTCATAGTAAGCAGTAAGTTAAGAAAAATACAATCACTCTATATATCTCCCAAATGGTAAATAAAATAGTGCTTGTTGTAGTGTAGTGAGGAACTTGAGAGACATGAAAAGACAAAAATACATGTTTACATTTTTGTTTTGGATAACAACCATACCACACAATTTAGGTAAGCTTTTGTTTTCAAGGGAGGGTCTGAGTTTCTTACAATTGCACTCCTGCTAATGCATTGAGCCAGGGAAAGAGTTGAAAGCAGGAGAGAAATAAACTATGTCCATAGCATAAATAGAACACCAGCAGTGTTACTGCAGAGAGGTGTCCTGGGCCACTACAGCCATTTAGTACATTGGTTTGCAACCTGGACAAAGAGGTAAACAAAACTTGCTGCTATTCCTAAGCTACTGAGTGAAATAGAGAGAAGAACTGAGTGAAAAGCATTGCAGGAGGTTTGCAAGAGAATACCTGAGCCACACAGGAGCAGAGGCTTGGGTTCAGGGGAATGTAAAGCAATGTACAGAGGGTAAAAAGAATAACCCAGCTCTGTATGTATAGCTGATCATTTGATAAAGTAGATGAGCTCAGGCTGTCAGGGTTGTTTGCCACTACAAGGGAGAAAAAGGTTTTTTTCTGCTCCTGCCACTTATGAAACTCACTGCAGTATTTTTATATACTTCTAACATGCACATGGGGGGAGTTGCAAGCTAAACCAAATCATGATGTCAGCCCAGGATAAGTGGATAGAGCAAGAGCTTCCTCTCTCAGCAGCAGGAAGCTGTTCTTTTGGCTAATGAGATCATACAGAGGTACACTCTGGGTGAGTTGTTAGTCCCCAAGGAATTGAATCACAAGGATGTGATAGCTCTGAGAAAAGGGCAAGGCTGAGTCATGATACCACTAAATTGAGAAGTCCATGAGCTGCAGAGTGCAGGCTGAAAGTTAACCTGTACCCACAGGGGGTTTGCCTAGAGCTAAGTTATCACTACATTCTTTCTTAAGCCTTATGAGTTGCCTGGGTCCTGCTGTTATGGCAGTGATGGTACCAACACCCCTGTACTGGGGTATGCCTGTATGTTCCAGCCCTTCCAGCTGTTTGGTGTACCGAAGATGAAAGCCCAAGGAAGCTGCTTGGATTTATGTGCCAATCCTGCTCCAGTTCACTTTGCATTTTGGACAAGATTCACTCACTAACTGCACACTCCATCTAACTTTGTTACTGCTTCACAGGCTCTTCAAACCCATTCTGGCTCCTTTTTAGGAACCTTATTATTCAGCTTTTTCAGGGAGCAAACACTTATGTCTTGCTGACTCCTGAACCTTCCCACACATTTGGTCAGGGAAGAGTAGAAACCAGGCTGGGGGCAGAGAAGAGTGGAAGTTAAAAGCCTGTTTCCTGGTGACAAAGAGGAAAGGAAGTTGTCGCTCTCCTTGACTTGAGAATCATCATTTTTTGTGTCTGTGTGTTCAGATGCCTGTTGCTGATGCTGGCTAGTCCTGTCCTCTTCTGAATTAAAAGAGGGGTAATCTGCCTGTACCCCTAACCTCATTCTAGTCTCATGTGGGCAGAGTTTGAAGTCATTTGCCGTACATGCCAGAAGACCTGAGTGTTCACTCGATCTCTCTGTTGTCACTGAGCAGAGTACAGAGAGCAGGTCTCACCAGCAATTGACAGAACAGGAGTCCCTTGAACACAAGCTCCTACCTCTGGCACTAAATTTACAAAGGATGCCAAGACATCCCACCTCACACATTTCTCTGCTGAAATGCAGAGAAAGAAAAGCCTGTGAGTTGACCAAATAGAAGGGAATTCTTCAAGGTACATATCACTGGTAGACCATGGAGTTCACAGTTCAATGGGAACCATAGAGAGATGTGTGTGGATCCCTTGAATCCTGTAAGAGCAGTGTGTGATTACCTGTGGCTCCAGAAGAGAGCAGTAGACTTGAAGGATTTTGAGGATCTAACCTATGACCGTGACCTTCTAGGCCTTTTGGCTGTGTCTTCAGCAACTTTCGATATTTAGACCTTTTCATGATTCTAACAGAACAGACAAATCTGGCAGGTGATGCACAACAGCATCATAGAGGAGCAGGAGTCCTTACCAAGCCACGACCAGCAGTGCGGTGATTGCGAAGAATGGCATCCCAAGGCGATTCTTCAAAAGTCTTTTTGTCGTAGAGGTTGAGCAGCTGGCTGACACTGCGGTGGAGAGAGGCTTGGGAAAACGTGCGACTTAGCTGGCTCTGACTTAGTCTCCTTCCGCCAGGTGTGATGTGGACACTGCGGCTGCTCATGGGAGAACCAGCTCCTGGAATTTTCGTATCCGCTAGTCCCTAAAAGGAAATAAATAAAAAAATTAAAGGCATGGTCTTAAATACTTTACCTGAATAAAAACAAAGCAGGAGTGGAAGAGAACAGAGGAAACTGTGCTTCGAAAATCATGCACAGTTATAAACAGAAGAAAAAAAAATGACCTTTCCCCGTTGTCCCCATTGTGAACAATCATATCATGAAAAAGAAAAAAAACCCAAACAAACACAAGAAAACCCCAAAAACCAACCAACCAACCAACCAAAAACAACAACAAAAACAACCCCCAAAAAAAAAACAAACAAAAAAATCCAAAACCACAAACCAACACTGCAAACCAGGACTTTCCCTGATTTTTTTTCCTTTTTCCTATTTTTTTTTTAAGTAGCCAACAAGCAGAGGTCCAAAGATTTTTTACTACCAGAATGATAGCTCAAACTTGCACAGCAAGGGGATGTTAGCAGACTTTTTCAGTTATTGTGACTAGGGGAAAAAACATTCACCCACCAGGAGAAACATGCAGGAGAAACATGCATGTTTTTGCATGCTTGTTGAGTCATCTGACACATCACACATCTTGCAACTCTGCAAGCTAATGACTCTACCTCAAAGTGCATTGTGTATCTTTTGAGCGTGACACTGCTTGATGAATTGGATGTGTCAGCAATAGTCTCAAACTGAGATTAAAGAGAGGGAGGAAAAGCGTTAGGGCAGGGCAAGGTGCAATACAGGTGTACCTTACAAAGGGTGTGAATTAGCTGCAGCTCTGTGAGGGAGAGCAATGTAGCAGGACATGGGGGAGTAGGGGAACTGGCAAAGATCAGGCACTTTTTAACTTTTAAGTGGTCATCAAGTACTGTGTGGACAGCTAGCATTGCTGGCCATGTGACCTCACTAACCACTGTAAAACACAAGCGATTTTGCCACTCTATTGTAGCTCTGTCCTAACTTCTCAGATTAAGTCCTTCAACTGATGCACTGTAGAATCTTCCTTCCTATTAAGTCCATGAGCTTCTGGAAAAAGAGAAGGGAAAAACAAAATAGAAAATAAAAGAAAGGTCAGGAACGTGAAAGGGAATTGGGCAGGCATGCCAACAGCAAAGACATTTTAAAGTCAAGAGGAACAACATAACATGACAGACTGTAGAGGAAAAGGAATCAAAACCATGAGATAAAAAAAAGAAGTTTCTTATGCTCTTAGCCTTTGCCAGGAGAAGGGGCACACTGGAAATCCCATTGTTTCCAAGAGCTCCTTGGTTGAGGCACAGATGCAGCATCTTGGCACTGAGACAAGAAGGAACAGAATGCGTGAAGGATGCAGGAGTCACTATCCTGCTTGATGGCACTCACAGGAAAAAGAAGCTGAGAAGTGACAAGAAGAATCATCTCACGGCCTGTGCCTGGGAAGAAGCGTGGAAGTGGAAGGCACGGCTGTTTCTATTCTCAGTCTCATAACAATTTCCATATTCCTTTTGTTTTGCTTTTCCTCAAGGGGTAGGATAGCACTACTACTCTGCTATATGATGGAATGTGTTTTTTATGCATTCTTTTTCAGAATTATAATTTGTCATGATAAAGATTACAGAAAACCTTCCTCTTTATCACTCCCCAGCGGTCTTCCTCTCACATCTGTGGTGGTACCACCACAGGTCTGTGTGCACAGATGCACACACGCATTTTGTGAAGGTCCTTAGCTTTTTCCCTGACTGCTCTCTCTCTACTCCAAACCTTCCTGCCATGCAGCTTGTCCTAGAGCATTCCAGCTGGGTGGTGGATGGATACTAGAAAGCAATAGAGCCTCTCCCCAAGTCCTGCTTTTTGCAGACATATCTCATGGATACCAGACAAAGACTGTCAGATTGATCCTGGTTAGCCATCCACAGTAGGCAGTGGGGAACACATGAAAAGTTCCTCTGAAAAGCACATTTTATCACCTACCTTTTCACAGCATGCCAAGGACTTTTCAGCTCTATTGCAGATGTCAGCTAACATGAGGTGAGAGCAGTGGCTTTGTATTTTGTCTGACTCCAGATTCAAAGTTTGTCTTTGGCATCAGAAGCATTTCAGGACCTGAAAACCAGGTGCCATAGGGCTCTGTTTAGACTATGCACCTGTAGCCTGGCTCTCAGTGCCCACGTAGCACCAGACAGTCCTTTTCCTACACTGGACAGCCTCCATTTGGTAACCAAACGAGCAATAAAATAGCAGAAAGAGGAATAAAAACTCTTGTGTGTGTGTTTGGGGGCCATATAGAAATATAACATTATGGATACACAACACTGTATTTTGGCAAACGTACCGGGTGGGTTTCACCTGATGAATACACACTCATTGGTGATGTTCTTTTCTGGAGTGGAACTAAAGGAGGCCTGTCTCGTGCATAGGGTTGCTTTTTGACCTTCCTTTGAAGAATTAAGGAGAGAAGAATAGCCAAGAGGATCAAACCTAGAACTACCATCAGCACTGCAAACCACAACTCGTTGTAGAATTTTGCATGTTTAGACTCTGCTTTGTCCTTCTCTCCAGGTGTTGTCAAGATCAGACCTGTAAAAAGAGGGATTAGGGGAGAAAGGGAATGTTATTTCAGAAAGCATTTAACAATATGCTATCTCTTTCTCCACTAATAAATTAGGCAGAAATTTAAGTAATTTTGTAGTCATGTGCTTTTTTGCACTTATGTTCAAGGTGGCATAATGGTTCAATATGCTCGTAGGCTATAATAAAAATCTTACTACCCTCAAGAGACCCTGCTTAAAGTTCTGGCATTGCTGCTTAGGCTGGAAATCACCATTGCATCAGCAGCTCTTCTGAAAGGAGGTGATAGAGGTGGAATGTGAGGAAAAAAAAGGGTTCTCCAAATAACCTTGAGTGGAAATGACTATGGTAATTTCAGTGCAGTACAGAGGACATTTGCTCCAGAACTGTGTAGTGGCAATTAACAAAAGAGGGGGGGGAAAGGCTTAACTGAAATAAGTGATACATTAATATAAAAGCAAAGAACATGAAACATTTTTCTCCTTCCCCCCACCTGTTAGAAAAAAACAGTCAACTTGGTTGGCTTTGCTCATACACAACACAAGTGTAAGAAATCTCAGTGACAAGATTTCCTGGTTATTTGCAATCCTGCATTCATTTCCAGACTCTTGGCTAAGGAATTTCCATCACCTTCGCTTGCAAGCCTCCTCAAAAAGTTGCCTACGGTGCTGATAGAGCTTGCAGTAGACTATGGGTACAAGCATCAATCAAAAGAACAAAGGGGCAGAGTGTGGAAGGTGTTGGATGTAGAGCAACTGGGAACATCTTATAATGACTTTACAGCAGCCTTGCCTGAAATTCTGCAGGAGGATGGAGTGAGAACATGAAAAGTGTTATAAGGGAAATGCAGAGTAAAGAGTAATTGCAAAGACAAGACAGATCTATTTTAAGAAACCAAACAAGATGCAACTCAAAAAAGAACTTAATTAATTAAACCCAATATATAATTTAGAAATGGTTCAAACTTAGCTTTGCTTCACAGAAAACTAAGAAGTTAAAAAACTTTCACTGGAACTCTTTACTGTTAGGCATCTACTACTTAATGGACAAGAAGTGACTGAGATGTCACCACACCAAACTCCCTTGCTTCCACAAAACAGGCAAAAGCCTCATGAACAGAAGGGAAATGGCAGGTGTTATAAACTGGGTCCTGACAATATCTTGTATGACATTCTCATAAACTGGCTAGTGGAACGAATCCCAGGTGAAACTGCTGGTTGGTCATAGGAGAGGAGCAGGTGCATATCCCTTGCTGGGCTGGGTGGGATGCAGGGAGGAGAAAGGATATGTATTCTGTCAAACTGAGGGAGAACTTTGGAGGACAGGATTGAAATTCAAGATAATCTGAATTTGGAAATAAAATCTAGAAGAGAGCAGATTCTATTTAGCAGGAAAAAGCACAACAATTTGGAGCACTATATTTATGTAAAAATAAAATAAAAAATATTACATGTATGGAAAGAGGATCTGAAGCCAATCATGAGAGTTGTCCCATCCCTGGAAGTGTTTGAAGCCAGGTTGGATGGGGCTTTAAGCAACATGGTCTAGTGGAAGTTGTCTCCCATGGCAAGGGAGTTGGAACTAAATGGACTTTAAGGTCCCTTCCAACCCAAAGCATTCTATGATTCTGTAATTCTATGATTCTATAACAGTTGGACTCAATGATCTTAAGGTCCTTTCCAACCTAAAGGACTCAACAATTCTATGATGTAAAGGAACACAAATCCATCCACGGCAAAAACACATATTACCTACATACCTCATACAGTAAGGCACTAAGGAATCCTCTGATCTTGCAATGAGATGCCATCCTGCCTGTCATGCACTAATATCAAATTTCTAGCACAAAAACATAAAATGAACTGGTGCTAGGTAATTTCTTCTCATATTTACCAACTCCGTCTCCAGCGTTGTACTTGATGACTGGTGTCATGGCACTCCCTTCATCAGTGATGCAGGTCACTTGAAACAAAAAAGCTGAGCAAAAAAGGTTAGAAAATACTGTCAGCAGAAGAAATAAAAATTCTGTAGGTGCTGCTTTTTCACCATGATCCACCAGCAGAGCTGGACAAGTCTGAGAAAAAAACAAGGCAAGTATAGCACATAACCCACCATAATGCACCTGAGTCCCAGACCAGAGCCTCACAATCCTTTATATAGGGGTATTAAAATTCTAAACTATGAAACATGGCAGATCATGGATAATCATCATAATGATGTTGCTACAAAATATGTTCCTCTTTCACCACTCAATCCTCTCTCTTCCAGTGTAACTGGCAACTTTCAATTTATTTATCGTTTTGCCCTAAATCCCTAATGCTTCATTCATGGCTGACACAAACATGTTAAGAACATTTGAGTTAGAAAAAAAATAAAATTATTAGCACCACTGCAGTAATCAGGATGGTAAAAAATAGATTATAAAATCCTTTGACAAACAGAACCCTCAACGTCTTAAAAACAGAGAATGGGGTTTTTTGTGTTTTTTCTTTTTTATTCTTCACACACACATACATTGACAGTTTCCTTTTATTTTAAAGACTGCAAATTTCTAGGAGAAACTGCATTTCAAAACATGACTGGTTCCAAGAGCTACTGACTTAATTTGATTCAAATGAAAATTCAAATGCCAGTCTTTTCTGGAGCTGAAGATTTCTATGTATTTCCCAGATTGTAGCCCTGAAGGGTGGAATTGCAACAGAGCTCCAGGATTTGGGAAAGCTCAACCCTTACAATGAGCCAAAGCAGTCTCACCCAATCAGGTGTAATGTTTAAGAGGAAGTTTAGCTCCATGGATTTTTTTTTTCAAGCATCTGCTTAGATGCACATCAGAGCACTTGTAGTACGCTCTTAGCTTGGGACTGCAATGGAGAGTTTTTCTCAAATTTTAGCACACAATAATATTCATTTAGCTCAACAGACTTTTCATAGAGAGGAAGCTGTAGGAAACTGAAACTGACTTTTGTCAGATGTCCTTGGTAAATAGAGCTCGGTGTCAAAGCCACTGTAGATGCGCTGCCCGCTCTCAGTCACCGCGTACTCCTTCAGGCGGCCGTTCAGCACGAACGTGCGACTCCAGTCTATGTGGATGGTAGATAAGTTGCTGACAACAGAGAATGGAGCCATGTACCGAGGTGCTGCAAGAGAAGGAAAAAAGATCATTTCTAGCCAACAGGCTAGAAGTGATTCATTGACTGAGTTACACAGTGAAAATACAGAGGGTCTCCATGATACAAGCTCTGCGTCTCATGCACTCCCTTTCTCTCTCAGACATGTGTATGATTAGGGAAGATACAAGGAGAAAAGACAAAGCTGCTGTGGCATGCTAGTCTCTGCATTGAGAAAGCAGAAATATCTTATAACTTGAAAATAAAGATCTAGAACTCCCTCTCTTCACCTTCATGTATGCGGGACAGACACAAAAACTGTAGAAATTAAATTCCAGCTTAAGGTGGGGGACAGGAAGACACGGGAGGGTATGCAAGCTTGACTGCAGCAGGCTGTGGTGTGGGAAGCCAACTGCTAAGCAGGGGACTCTCTTCCAAACCCCAGAAACTGCCAAGATCATCTTTAAAACATGCACATACATGAAAACAAGGGGTTTCAGAAAAGCAAGAACAGATGGCAGATAGAAAAGAAACCCAGAACTCACTTCAAGGAGGAAAAGTTCATCAGTTGGGCTCAACAGCTTGCTGATAAAAAACTTCATTTAAGCTTGAGGTGGTCCTTTCTTGTGGTATTGCCATTAAGCCATCTGCCCTATATATGATGCTCCGTTCATAAGAAATCTGCTTGTCCAGCTTCACTTTGCTGCTAATTGCCCACTGTCAGTAAAGCAAGCCTTCCAGGCAAGAGGAGGAAGACAGATAGAGGGACTCTGAAGACCAGGTATGAAGAAGTCAGCAAGGCAAGAAAAGCAAGACTGAATGAAGAGGGCTGTAGATCTAGTAGGCGGGGGTTTTAAAATCACTTTCAAATCCTTTTGTTCTGTGTGTCTCACCAGTTCCTTATGAATTTTCTCCACTTAAAAATCATAATCATGCTCCAGCCTTTTAGTTTGCAATTTAATAAAACCCAGCTTTTGAGATAAGGATCTTTCTTTTGTTTGTTTTTTTACTTTTGTTTTCAGTGGTGACATGAAAGAAAATCTGGGCCTGTTCCACCTGAAATTTTCAACTAAGGATGTATCAGATACATTTTTAGTAATTACTTGCAGAACTACTAAATGATGCAAAAGGGATCTTCAGAAAGGTGATTCTGAAATCCTGACATGAGATTGTATGATAAAAAGTGAATATCTTCTTTGCCCTGACCTGACAGACTGAGGTGAAATGCCCATCTCATCTGTTATGGAACGACTCTGGCTACAGCACTATAGATCTTTTCAATAAAAGCTGATGTTATACTACTACAAATGCAGTTTTGATGGCAAAATCTATTCTGCCTGTAGGCACAGGCCCTGCATGCTTAATTTCCATGCAGATCACCACATGGCCTTAAAGCACTGCCTGTGGTAGTTAGATAGCAATGCATTCTTAATTCAGTGTCCACAAGGATCCAATCATTCAGATGACATCCAAGGAAAGCTCCTAGCAGGAGTGTGGCATGAATTAGGACAGTAAGATTGTTCCTGAAAAGAATCACCAAGTCTCTTTCAAGATCTCCACTTTTCCAAGGTATTATTTATGGCAGTGTATTTATTACTACACCTCACCCTTCTGGTAATACTTGAACATTTTATGTTCTGCAGCTTTGCTGCCCATTTTCAGTAAAATAAAAGGTTTCCAGGCTCCCAAGATAGAGGAGGTGACATCAGATGATGAGCAAAGAAATGTTTTTGAAATTATGAGCAGTTAAGCCCCAGAGCAGAATTTCAATGACATGCTGCAGAGACACGGTGACCAGGGACATGGAAGAACAGGTTTCTGGGGACATCATCTTCCACAGAGGAGGGGAAGTCATTTGGCTCTAGGTAGCCCCAGGCCTCAGAAGCAGGTATCGCTGATGGCTGAACCATTTCTCATACTCACGCTCTTTTTCTGTGGTGAAACCAATCCATTCAGAGGCGCTGCTGCCAACGGAGTTGTAAGACACAACTCGCAAGTTGTAAGTTGTGTAAGGCTCCAGGTTGGACACATTGGCACTCTGTCCTTTTCCTGTGTACTTCACCTCAGTTGGGCCAGGGCTGCACGCCTTCACTGCTGGCTGTAGGTTCAGAGGACATGCCATATACACATGGAGCTCGTAGCTGAAGAGAAAGTTGAGATTTTGATTAATAAAAAGCCTTAATAATGTAACAACCAATCATACATTTCATGCTATTTGCTGTCCATCTGGCTACTGGAGAAAAAAATGGACCTGATCCCAGTCTTTCTCTTGGAGATTTTGATCCTAATGGTAGGACAACTGAGCAATTGTGGTTGTAAGTCACACTTACAAGGAAACTGTTGATGTCTGTTACCTTGCTGCTCACTTTTGCAAATCAGGATTTGCCTAAGTAACTCCTGGATGCAGCTACCTCTTCACTGCAGTTGAACTTACAACTTCTTGGTTGTGCAAGCACAGCCATCAGACAATCACCTCCACTCACAACAGCTCATTCTTTCCACCTTCATCCTCCCCAATATCCTGCTCAGGAGCAAAGCAATCATTGCATGTAAACACTTCTCAGACGGTATTCAGGCCACAGGGAATATCACCACCAACATGGTGAAGAAGGAGCACGGCTGCCACAACTGTCCAGTGCTCTCAGCCCTGCGATTCCAGCTCAGATTGTTCCACCACCACCTCTAGCCGAGTGGCAGCTCCTACCTGGTTACAATGCCATTGGGTGACTGAGGGGCACTCCACTGGAAAGAGGCATTTCTGGAGGTCACGGTGCGGATCTGCGGGGGAGGCTGCTCTGAGGGTGGAGCCGGCTGTGTGGTGAATTGAGCCATGGGTCCTTTGCTGCAACAGTTGAAGCAGGTGCAGGCCTCCACGCCGATGGAGTATGTGGTAAAAGGTTTTAGTCCATGTATTGTCTGCTGGGTAGCAGTCCCTTCTGACAGCTATAAAAATTAAGAGGGAACTTGTCATGGTTTCAAGCACCACAAGTACTAAATAAGAGTTATGGAGGTGAATCAACTCCAGAAGAAGACAGGCAGAAGATTCTACATGTTCTTTAATCTGATATTAATGCAGCTGTTGTGAAATGTTGGGAACTCTGCATTTTTCCCCCATTACGAAGTTAAAGGGCACTCTTCAAAGGAAAAGACTCTGCTATCAGTGACCTCACAGATGTCTTGAGTTGAGCTGTGACCACTGTATGTCAACTGCAAATGTCATTCTGAGGAACAGAGAAACCGAAAACCATTAAAGAGAGACTCTGGGATAAGTGGTACTGAAGCAAAAAATAAATTAATGTGGAACATAATAAGCGTGGTAGCAAACACTCATGCATATCTCACAAGCTTCCTCAATGTGGATACAAGAGACAGCACTGGGCAGTGTGATACCAGTGTGTCTGGTGGGTCAATTTACTCATAGACAGGAGAATGCACTCTCTGGTAGGTACCTCTAAGTCGAGGGCCAACATGATGCTGCTCTGCATTCACACAATGCACCAGCCATGGTGCTGAGTAAGCCTGTTATGAAACTCTTCTATGGTGAGCAAGGGAGACCTGGCAGTTCTGGCACAGGAACCACTGCCCTTGTTCTGAAACTGCTCACAGGGACTGCCACTTCACCTTGTTGCTGTATTCATTTGTTGGTATAGCTTTTTAAGCCAAAGAAATAAAAATATGTAGAAAACACCAACGAGGGACAACATCTGCTCTCATTTGGCAGCATATGATTTAGCAGAGTTCAGCAAAAAAAAGGAAGGAAAGAGTCAAGCAAGCAAAGGAAAGCACTTGGTACTTATTGATGCCAGGAGCCAGAGTGGAGCCAGCAGCATGGCAGGTGTGAGGGAATGGAAACGGAAGGCCATGCAGGCACCAGTGGGATGAACTGGCTGAATCAGACATGGACGCAGCCAACTGCACTAGAAGGAATAAATGGGTAATGTGAAATCAGTAGACAGCTTAAGCTCATGGACGGGATAGTGCATTGCAGAGCAGTCAACAGCGGGAGGTCAGGAGAGGAAGGCAGTCTGTGACCAACAGTAGCAGCTTGTAAGAACAAAATTGTTAAAGCTAGAAAATACAAGATGAAATGGAAGTACAGAAACAGTGCTGACAATACTCACCACCACATCAGTCCCTCTGGTATCATTGGAAAACAGTCTGTAGATACTGACCACCCCATTAGGCTTAAGAGGGGGGCTGATGTTCACCACAGCCACAGTGGATGCCACTGTGTTGAAGAGGGGAGCTCCCAGGCCCTCAGGAGGGGCAGGGCCTGTCCGGCAGCGGGACCAGCTGCTTGATGTCCGGCCCACTGAATTTACTGACCACACCTTTGGCAAAAAACAAGGAAACTGTTAGCAGAGGACTCAGGCCTACAAAATATCTGTGTTTAGCCAGAGATGCTACTGCAGCTGTACTGATACTGAGTAAAACACAGTGAAATGATGCCCATGGAAAATGTCCCTTGATGGCCACCCAGCACCTGTGTTGACCCAGTGACTTTCTAACAGAAGAGTGGAATGTTTTCCACCACCACATTTAGGGAAAAGAAGCCGAAGTCATGTCTCAGGCAGCGTGTGCTCCTGTGTCTCCTTCATACCTGATCTCCACACTACGAATTCCTGTGTCACAGCATGCAAAGAGTACTCCTGAAGGAGGTGTGATCAATAGGGATAATGTTCTCAAAGACATCTGAACAAAAATACTAATATCCAGTCGTGGCAGTTTCTCCCTTCTACATACTTCATATACACAGGCAGTCCTGGTGAATTCAGCCTGGCCCTGGCTGATACTTAAAAGTTACATTCACCTTGACTGAATTACACAAGCCAAACTCTAGCTACTCTTTAGAGCAAGTGAGTTTTACAGGAACACCTTTCTCTTAAAAATATTAATGTATCAGTTGTTTGGCAACATTTTCAGTAACTCATAATATAAATAAAGCCCACTGAAGTGTTTAGGTAATCCAGCCTCTTTCATTTATTTTTCACAACAACATTTGCTTTATTGCATGAGCACAAAGGCAATGGCTTCAGTTCCAAGATTTCAAAATTTAGCAGCTTGAATTAGACCTGATTAAAAACCACATGTCTCTATGAACTATGCCTACTGATTTTGTCAGCTACCCAAAACCAGAGTGATCTGCAGACTACATAAAACTCAGCACTTATTAAACACACTCTCCAACAAATCTGCATGAAAATTAAATTTTGCTTTCATCAAGGACTGAATAAACATATGGAAGGATGTATAATCTTATTTATCAAAAAGCATTTGTATAATTAAACACGAATATCATAAAAGGTTGCCTTAGGTCATCATTTGCATGAGTAAGTAATTTGTCGAATGTCAGGTACAATAGACAGAATAGATGGATGCGTGAGCGTATAGGGTTAAATTAGACTCAATATTAGCCAACCACATAGTGATCAATCAGAATGATAGATCTAAATGGCAATACAAGAGGACTGTCTGAGCGATTTTTAGTATAAGTATTCCTTAGTAAGCTTTCATGTCGAACAGTTCTAACTATAGTAAAACACATTCTTATGTGATCTGTTCTGGGCAGAGATCCTGGGGAAGTGAATGGTGGGACTATGTCTTACAAAGAAAAAGGAGATTGAGAAGTAAGAGGTCTTCAAAATTGACCCCAAATCCTTCCAGCTTGCAATATTAAGTTCCAAGACCACAGGACACTTCACAAGGAGCCTGGGGAAGGAAAAAGGATAAAACAACTACTGTGGCTTTGAAGGCTGTGGTTCTGCCAATTACAACCTAAAGCTCCTGCCTGATTCCATCAGTAACACACAGAACCATCCTAAGTACAGATGATGCCCTACAATAAAAAGTTCAGCCAAAGCACTTTCATTTTCAGTGAAATCAGTAATACATCTCTGTTGCGAACTTTTCATAAAGTCAAACTCTGTTCACTTTACCGCAGTAGGTCAAACCCTCTGTCTCAGTTCAGTTCCATTAGCTACAAAGATTTACTCACAGTCATTTATCTCAAGGGGCATATTTCTTTGTGGAAAGAATAAGCCACATATGGTAAGAGCAGCTCTGAATGTGGCACTGGCATTGGCTCAGCACTTACCTGAGCTCAAACGCTCCAGTTATATCCAGGCTGTGTCCCTAATGAGCATGGAGCGTAACAGTGTTGGACTTGACCTGCTGAGCAAGCTGCCCACAGCAAAAGTGAAGGTGGTGATGTAGGAACAGAGACTTCCTGTGTAGCACAGGAATTCAGCTTCGGAATAGGAGCTGAATTTTAGAGAAGAGAGGGATGCAAACACCTCATTTGGGAAGCAAATACCTCACTGAGGGTTGGATGGAGACACCTTCCTTCATTGATCCCTCTCCTATCGTGGGTGCCTACACCTTGTCTTTCAGGAAAAAGTCTCAGTTCAAACCAACCAGGGCTTGCTCTTTCAAAACATCCCTCCCAGTCAGACACCTCAGCTGCCTGGCCCCTCAGTGACAGCACCCCAGGGCCCTGTTTCTGTTGTCCCCATCCCTGTGGTCACACCCATGCCAGCCCCGGGACAGTGTCCCCTGCCATGACACACTGAATTACAGACCAGGGGCACAAGGCAACAGGAGAGGCCTCTCCATGGTCCCCACACGATGCTGACACATACCAGAATTGGAAAGGCTTTAAACACAAACCCAACAGCACAGCAGTTCCCTTACAATCATCTGCCCCAGGGCACAGTTGTGCTCTGGGGCACTGCTACTCCTAGGAAAGGAGCATCCTTCCCCATCCCAAGCAGCGTATGGTCCTCTTGTGCCAAAGAGCTGGGAGATTTGTAGCAGAGTTGAGTCCTGCTGAGCTTGAGACACTCTGTTCCCCATTATCTTATTTGCTCCTGTATTTTGCACAGGACTGACGTACTTTGGAGGAAGTAAAAGATCAAACAGAAGGGTTGAAATTCCTGAGCGTTTCTACTGTCATAGCAGCCCAGCCACCCCTGGGAATAACAGAGAAAAAGAAGGAAAATGACAGTGGGGATGCCATATTTTGTCCCAGTGTCAATTCCCTCTTCACAGTTGCACCCAGAACATTATTACTGGGTGCCAGCAGCTTTCAATTGCTTAAATAGAGATGAAGACCCATCCTGCCCCGAAAAACATGGACAAAATAATGGGACCATGATGTGCAGACGAGTGTGTGGCTGGTTTGAGCCTGGGAATTGGCTTAGTCCAGGAGAAAAGCAACAGTGATGCTTTTGGAGGAGTGCTGCTGCCTTCCCTCTTCCTCAGCATCCCAGTGCCCTGTAACAGGCACCATAGTTATGTGTTGGGAGCCGAGCTGAGGAAGGGATGTCCTGCTTGAGTGTTAGCAGGGTGGTGACAGGGACATGCAGATACTCCTTATCTGGCTGCTAATGCACTTTTTATCTCCTCCCTTAGGTGAGGGAGACGTGGCAAGGCCTCTTGTACTTGAGCAGCATTCAAAGCACTCTTCTGAGGTGATGGTGCTGTCCTGACACACTGCAGTCTGTTGTCACCTCATCGCCAGGTCTGGGGTCATTAATGTGGCTTGGGTTTCTAATAATAACCCTGTAAAAACAATCCCAATCCAGTGCAGTCTGGAGGAGACGGAGGGGAGACCTCACTGTGGTCTGCAGCTTCCTCACGAGGGGCAGTGGAGGGGCAGGCACCAATCTCTGCTCTCTGGTGAACAGTGACAGGACCCAAGGGAATGAAGCTGCGTCAGGAAAGGTTTAGGTTGGATATTAGCAAAAGATTTTGCATCCAGAGTGTTGGGGTTGTCCTGTGCAGGGCCAGGAGTTGGACTTCAATGATCCTTGTGGGTCCCTTCCAACTCAGGATATTCTATGATTCTGTGCTCATCCCCTTCCATACTACAACTAAGGGGTTAAGGGACTTCTTCAGGAGGCAAGTAATTGAGGTTCAATCACATGCTCCAATGGAGGCAGTCAAGCCTGCTGCCTTCTGGAGTGAGAATGCCCAAGTGGATGATCCATCTTTGTTCTTGGGATGCTCCCAGTGATCCCTTTGTGGCTGTTTCACTTTGCATGAACACTATGAAATCAAGATTGACTGGGCAGAGCATGAGCAAGCAGGAGCAGACATGGTTTCCCAGCCCAATCTTTCCCTAGAGAGGTTGCAGGGGAGCTGAGGTTGAGGTCCACACTGGTGCCACATGCCTGTCTCTCTTGAAAAAAGGGCCAAGGTCATGGCCACATGTGCATGGGCCTGACAGACAGACATGCTCTGAGCGTGCCTGCTAGACAGACACCAGCTACTCAGCCCTGCCAAGACATATGTCCAGCAGAAAACCCCTAGGTGTCTGTGAATCTCTGTAATACCAGCTTCTGAGACAGCTGTGACAGCTAAACAGGACTTCTGAGGATCTAAATTCCAGATTTACACTGACCTAAGCTGGATTCCCTTAACTCCCTTTGCTTCTGCTCAACCATCTGTAAAAGGATGGATGGTTATAAAAATATTTCCCTGTGAGAATTGCTGTCCAAGTAAATCCTGGTCAGTGTTTGGAAACCCAGGGTAGTAAGTCCCCAGAACTGACTACAGATGGAAATGCTGGTGTTTAGCCACTTCTCTGTATGAAGAAATGGGGCAGCATGGCAACAGAAACCACAATGAGGTTAAAATCAGACCTGTTAAAATCAGAGGTCATGGCTTCTCACCACACAACAGTCGTGGATGAAAGCTGTTGCCTGGCTGGCCTGGTTAAACTGAACTTTCACATCTTAGACTTTTGTAGAAAGCCTTTTGGGCTCACAAAAATCCTTTCTAAATTGTGATATAATCAGCACCAAAATATTTAACTGCATTCATACAGAAACATAAAGAGCTTAATAGGCCTCAGTATTACTTTCTTACAATCATAAAAGACCACACAGAAACGTGGCGCAAACAAGAAGCAATATCTTAGGGATGTTTGGAATCACAAAACACAGTAGAAAGCCAACAAAAGTTTCTCATATCTTCACTTTCTGAATATTCTGCCTCCAAAAGCATTAAGTCTGACATCATGCCGCATGGCTCAGCACCCTGCCAAAAGATGTGCTGCTGTTAATGGCTGCACTGACCCAAAAAAGCCAGGAGAGGGCTCCAAAATCAGCTAATGGGTTACTATTTAATGCTTTATCAATCTGCTGGCCCCTGGCCCAGACTGCACTTTGAAGTGGAGCCAGAGAGAGAAGAGAAGGGGGAAACCTCTCCAGAGACCATATATTCAGAGGACTGAAGAATTCCAGTTACAGGTAGCTAAGCCTGGGTTTTTTCTATCATAAATGAGCCTTCACAGATCTCTGCCCCTGGAAGAAACCTGTGATCAGTTATT